GCAGATTTGTTGGCATCAAATTGTCAGGCAGACAATGGCTGATATAGTGCTTAATCTTCCATGAATCTAGGTTGAAATAAGATGATTCGGATGATGTAGAACGAATAGAATGAGTATAGTTACTGGTTGTATTAATGATGAATAAAATTATATGAAAAATGTTTGCAGCAGAAATAATTGGGATATTTCAAATGATTTTATCACTCCTTCCATGAACATATGAACTTATCAGAGAACAACATTTAAATAGTTCATTCCTGACATGGTTTTGAACAATTCAATATCAATCTGCCTATTCAATTATTTCCCTGAGACATAGATTGTTCATTATATTGCTTCAGTGTATTCAGTCGTTTCAACAACCGCCACCACGAAATAGAACGAATAAAATTGACATAATCTGCGTGAGAAGAGTTTTGCATTTACACTCTTGTGGTGAAATTACGTAATTACAAAAAATAAAATTGCACCAGCCGAGAATCGAACTCAGGTCTCTCGCCTGGCAAGCGAGCATTCTACCATTGAAACACTAGTGCTCATAAATCGCTGTTTTATAATATATATGAAATAATACATAAAGTGTAAGACTTAATAAAACTCACTAGATGAATAAGAATGAAATTATTTCGAGCCAATTCGAAAGCCGATAATATCCACAAAGTTACTAAGCAGACAATCAAATTGTTTCTTAGACATATATGGGTGTGGGTGTACGTGGGTGTGGATGTCCGGGTGTTGATTTTATCTTAACTGACATTCTGACCAACGTCATACCCATAACCACACCCACACCCTCCGATTGTCGTAATCTAGTGAATATAGAACCAGCAGGGGCGTGCCGAGTGGGAGACTGGACGAATGGAACACAGCACTCCCTGCTTTTGAAAATGTTTTTTTTTTGACAAAAAAATAGAAAAAAAGTTCTTTTCTGAGAATTAGAGGTACTGAATTGACATGAATAAATACCTTGTGCTCCAGGCTTTCGAAAATTGCAGTTGCTGCGTGGTTGCACCACCTCCTTCCACTGCTCTCGAGACTTCGGTATACCGTTGAGAACTAGATAATGCTTAACTTAAAATAACAATGAAAAGTAGGTACTCTTAAGAAGAACCATTTTATAAGAAAATATCATCTTAAGCACACCTATCAGAGTAAATTCGAAAAAGCTAAGAGATGTGAATAACAATGTTGAGATAATGATACAACGTTTTTTTCGTTGGATTTTTAATATGCACCGTACGTATGCAATTTCCCAAGGGGGAAAAAGCTGATTTAAATCACTCCAAAATCAAATTTAAATCATATAAATCACTTTTAAATCAATTAAATCAAATAAATCACTTTTAAGTCGAATAAATCAAATAAATCACTTTTGAGTCAAATAAATCAAAAAAATCACTTTTAAATCAGATAAATCATCTGAGTCACTTTTGAAAATATTTCAACCAATGACGAAAACTGTGTGAAATTAATTCGTTCTGTATTGTATCGTAGAAACAATTTTTTCGTTTCGAATTTATGACCAACATGTGCTCTCTAGAGCTATAGAATATTTTCATATATAATTTCGTTTTGTTCATGTATTTAGAATCGATCGAACGGAACGGAAAGAGAAAGAATCTCCCTCGATTTGTTCTATTACTATAAAACAGAGATATAGAGAAGGAAAGAAAAATATTTTCTTTCTCTTAGCTCGTTGTCGTATATTCATTTTCATCCTAATTTTCGTTTTATTCGGTCATCTCTTATTTGTTTATCTGCTAGAAACATATTGTTGTAGTCTCAATGAAAACAATATATGCACTGTTTAATAATATAAAAAATCGAAAAATGAATTGCATACGAAGACGGTTCTCTTTTATCAATGATTAGTAGAGTTAAAAAATAACAGATTCTCAACGTCATATTGTTATGATCCGATCCCTAGATCAGATTATAATGCTGTCCTGGATGTATTAGGTTGTAATATCTTCTTGAGGTACGATCTCGGTGATAACACTTAGATCTAACTATTTGTAATCACTAACCTATGAGTGCACTATGTTCGAGATGCGATTTCACTTAGATCTAACTATTTGTAATCACTAATCTATGAGTGCGCTATGTTCGAGGTCTAAGTGCTTGTCGATGTATAAATACGTCAGTTTTTTTTAAATAAAAGCAGAAAGTTTTCTCTTAATCTCATCGAAATAAGAGTTAACACATATATAAATATATATATTGATTTTCTCTAATTCGGTTATTCAACATTTTCATATGTTATAATGACGATAATGCAAGCAAGTATTTACTATATGGCAGTCACTTTTTCAAAATATGTAACATATATTTTGTATCAATTCTCCTATTATTGATTACATTTCCTCTGATCAGTTTTAATTTCAGATGACCTTTCCGCTGCCAGCTAATTCTCTCTATCTTTATGGAGATTCATTTTACAACGTTGTTAAACAATTCTGTGGTGATGAAGCAGTAGAATTACTTAAATTCCAATTGATTGATACTTCAATGAATTTACTTGAAGTCGACGACGTCTTTTCCATTTTAAATTTCGAATCTGATCGAACCGCAGCGCTCAAAGAAAAATTGGGTGTTCCATGTAAGGATGAATTTGGTAATTATTCATTCTTCGTTATGCCAGGAATTCGTTTGAAGCTTAACAAATTTATTCAAACACTTCGTAGTCTTCTTCCATGTACTGATTCATCGACAACTACTAAGTCTTTGACAATATCATCCGATTTAATTCAAAGATATCCGTTTTTGATTGATATTATATGCTGCTGTGAATCAAACTTATTTCCTGATTTTCTGCTTGACTTTATTTCGAATATCGTTTCTAACTTAACACGAACGAAAAACTTATTTCGTTATAAACAATCGGTCAAGGATTTTGCCACATGTCTTTACATACTGGGAGGAAGAACCGCTTATGAATTTGTACGAATTAATCTCGTTGGATCTATACCTAGTATACCTAGTCTTCGAGTTGGAATTACATCTGAAAAAAACCAGTATGTTGAAGGTGAATTTTACTTTGATCGTCTAAAGAATTATATGGATTCGTTTAATTGTACTTACGCATTCATCGGAGAAGATTGTACTGGTGTCGTACCAAAAGTACATTATGACGTTCACTCCAACTGTTTTATAGGATTTAACCTTCCACTTACAGATGGATTTCCGTCCACGCGCTACTTTTCTACTAACTTATTGGCTGAACTTGAAATGTGGCATAATAAGATAGAGAAAGGGTCTCTTCTGAACGTACACATTGTGCAGCCGTTAAGTCCATTGAATTCAACTTCATCACCATCGTTTATTCTCTCAGCGTACGGTACCAATGGAAAATTTACTGCTCGGGATATTCTTCAACGGTGGTTGAAAATTTTTGATTTCTGTCTTGAACGCAACATAAGGATATTAGGATATTCAACTGACTGTGATCCAAGAAGTTTAAATGCAATGCGTAATGCTATGGGTTTTTTTTCGAAATCAGGAGTACAATTGGAAGAACATCAACATCATTTCAACATTTCATTATTAAAAGTTAGTAATCTATTACAACACCTAAGTTAAAAGCTACGCTGATTTTATCTAAAAAACTTAGGAGGATATTAATATTACAACAGCATGATTGGTAAAAAAAAGGTTCAGACGTTTATAGACTTAGGCTAGAACAGACAATAACAAATATTTGGAGTGAATTGAATGGTCTTGAGTTGGTAGCTAGCTGTTTTGGCTCAGATGAATTGAGTGTAGAAGAGAAGTATCTTATCAACCTGTAGAATAATACTTCGTTCCATATGCTAATTCTACTCACAGATGAAAGTTCTTTTACTTATGAATAGCATACATGCATGCATAAACAAATGGAGAAGCTTCTGAAATAATAGAAATATTTGATTAGTCAGCTTCAATTTTTAATATTATTCGATTAAATAAAATTGTTTTAAAATGAAATACATATTTAAGTGAATCTTTTTTTTTTATCTTTCTGTGTTACGTAAGAGTGATATTTCCTGAATAGAATTCATAATAACGCATTTAGATTTTCAATGCAACTTAAAAATTCATGTTTTAATATTTTCATTAATCTTCTGATAATTTTCTTTTTATATTGTTTTAGAATAGTTCGTGGTTTTTCCTAAGACCAAAACAACTGTTCGTTTGTTTTCAAGACGGCGTGCATATATGCACGAAGCTTCGTAATCGTCTTTTAGCCCCTGCTATTATATTATTAATAGGAGAGAAACATGCAAGTGTTGATTATCTTCTAGAATTAATTAACAACTACTCAAAACTTGATCATGCTTTAACGGTTTCAGATGTACTTCAAAATGATAAGCAAAACTATTCTTCTTGCGAGAAAATTTCAAATGAAAAAGTTCTTAATTTGCTTAAAAAAATTCCGAATTCTGAAGCATTACAAGCCTATCTCCAAGTAAGATTTTGTTGATTTCTATCTTCTTATAACTCTCGAGTAGCAAAATGATATGTTTTTACATGTTTGAGCTAGCATAAGTATCAAAAATTTAACGAAATCCTTTTTTCTAAAATTAATCCTAAGTGATATTTAAGTTACCGCTTCTTTTCTTTTTCAAGTTCTATTGAATATCTGAATATTTCTTGTTTAATAATAGCTGATTCGGCTTGCTCGTTTGGCATTTGTCGAAAAACAAACAAGTATTATCAATCGATTATATTACTCGTGGACCGCGATATTTATAGTTCGTCTCTGGTCTTCATGGATTGAAATAACCGATCATACTGATCTCCAAAGAATAATCTCGCATTTATTACCGTCTAATTCCATGAGATCTATTTCAAAACCAGGATTGTTTATAACCGTACCAGCTCTCTTCTCACTTGAACTAAATGTTCATACTTTGACGTACTTAATGGTTCTTGTCGCAGAAAAAATTATAACTGAAGAAGCTCTAAATATATCGCTTTTTAATTCACAGATATGTGAAAACGTTTTTCGCTCAGCACGATCAATGTCAGGTCCGTTTTCCACGGTGGTGAACTTTTCTATTAATGAATTTCTTCAACGTGTTGAGAAATTGAGCGCTCTTCAAAATATCAAATGCTTATCTGATTCAGGTGCTAGCAGTCTTATCTTCCCAAAACATCACAAACAATCACAACAAATACATCAATTACAAACAATGAACACAACAACTACTATTACAGAACATATAATTGAAGAAACAGTATATAGTGCTTATCTTGAAGCTAGCCAAATTCTTTCTGGTTGTAATTTATCGATTCTTAATCCCAATGGTAAATATATATCATTTGAAGAAGTTAATCGATTAGCTCATCAAAAGTTAACAAGATCACAATGTAAAGCTTTTAGTAAAAGAGAAAATCAATCGAATAGTGATAAACAAGAGGAAGATGAAGATCTTGAACAATATCTAAGTCAGAAGCAATCTAGTGGAACAAATATCATGGATGATTTGGATGAGCCGCTGTTAGGTGACGAATCCGGTGCTGATACTTTTTCAAATGTATCTAATTCGACATTTAATGGAATGCGGATCTTTGACTCCATCAGTACGCATCAAACAGAATTGTTCTTTCCCATTGAAATTAATGGAGAGAAAAAATATCTTCATAAACAAACCGCAAACTGGTATTTCTCAAAGACAAAACCTTCTTTATCATCTGATCGATCAATTAGAGTTCAAAAGAAATAGGACCTTTATATCTTTGTCTTCTACATACATACAAACCATTTGCATAATAAAAAAATGAATTGTTCTACTTTCTTATCCTGTCATTTTTTGTACTCAACTAAGATTCAAATCCTGCAGTTATAAATATATACATTACAGTTAATTTGCAATCAAAATAGCAAAAGAGTACTTCGAGTTAAATGTTCTCTTTTATGTGTATATTATACGTTACATCAGACAAACTAGAACATGTAAATCCGTGAAGTATCACGTTTTCTACGTGAGCTAATTGACTGATTATTGCACCAATGGCGTGGTAAACTAGTTGGATAACAAACTACTATCATCATTCAATATAACCTCTTTAGGTCTGCGCAGAAAATAGTAATCCTATATTCCTGTAAAATCGTTTCACGGCGCCTGATTTATGTGATTTTTAAATCACTTCAAGTCAGTTTTGAGTCAAAAAAATCAGCTAAACTCATTTGAAATCAAAAAAATCACTTAAACTCAATAAAATCAAAAAAATCAGCTAAACTCATTTTAAATCAAAAAAATCAGCTAAACTCAATTAAATCAAAAAAATCACTTAAACTCATTTTAAATCAATAAATCATAAATCGCTTTTTCCCCCTTGCAATTTCCACTTATGAACAGAGTTTGAATTTAATAAAAAGTTCAAGACTGTGTCATACATTAGTTTTTTTTGTACTAACTAAACGGTATAATGATTTGACTATCACGATTTTCCGTGAAACCCTTGTGAAAATAAACTCTAAGTCAACCAACAGAAAAGCAACAAACGACTGGATGCCAGAATCATAGAATAATATCCACTTATTTGCAAAAAGCCCTATCATATTTTTATTACGTTCTGAGTTTTCAATAAAAGTTTCTGATCGTTTTATGATTTTGAAAAAGAACTTTCTCACTTTTCAATTAGTCCTCCGACCGCCCTGTCACCAGCGCTTAAATTGAAAATAATAATCAAACACTTTGAGAGAGGAAGAGGAAAACGGTTCTTTCTCAAACAAGAATTCAACAAATATTCATATATTCTCAAGCTGAACGATCGATAATGCATTTGCAGAGGTTCTTTCAACATTTCTGGTCAATAAAAGACTAAAGCAATATCTTTTTAAATTCTATCGAACATCTGCTTCTACAAATAGATCCTCAAACAAATTTTCAATTTTACTCGATACCAACGCGTAATCAATCATTGAATGTCTACAAAGTTATAATGACAATAAAGATACAACTTTTATCCAGTTAGAGAGAAAATCAATGTTTTGCCAAAAAACATCAAAACGATTTAATATGCGCATGTCAGGTGCTAACATTTTATAGCTGAGTCTCCAGTATTGAAGAGACATAGCAGAAAAAAATCAAGATGATTTATTGTCTCGATTGCCCCGTGTTAACATTATATAGCGATTTTCTGGTAAGCAATGAGAAAAATTTGTTGAAAAAAAGATTGAATGTCCGATACGTCCCCAATGTTGAAAAAAAATATAGCAGAAAAAAGATTTTTATCACACCACGATGAAAAGGAATTTAATGTTAAATAAAAGTAACCATTAATTCAATGTTCCCGTCAGTGAAAAACTAATTATCGTCTCTTATAAATCGAATAGTGTTTTTTACATATCTTCACAAAAAATTGAACGGAAATCGTTTGTAAAATATCAGTAAATGATCTTGCTTTGTCATTCAGCACAAATGTTAGCATACAATATAGAAATGCTATTGCAATCTCTACTAGATCCCAAACTCGCCTGCGGCATATATATTGACAGAGAGTATTTATCACACCATATTGAACGGCACTTCTTGCGACGGAAGTAATGAAAGAGAATGACATATAATTATTATTGTCATTGCCGCATTTTCATGATTGTGCATGTAATATTGATACAAAATAAAGTTTTCTTTGAAAAATTCTTTAAAAGTCATTGATAGGCAATAATATTTATATATATATTTTGTTAAATAGGCATATTAAACGAAATGCCCGTATGTTTGTCTCAAAATCATTTTTTTGGCAAAAATCGGCTTTTGGAGGGACGAGGCCTTAAATATCATCCCAACAAATGAAATGGATAAAATTAGTTGATAACCATTTGACAAGCGAAGAAAAAATATTTGCAGTTCTCAAAGTACGTATGCATGACGAACGAAAAAAAGAGAAAATAGGAAAGTAGTGAAAGAAAGCATTCAGAATTTTAAATATTGTCATGCAACAAAAAGAAAAATGAAACAAAGTTCGCAATGTTGATTGTCATCGCCGTTTATGCGTGTTCTTCTTCCTCCTGTTCACCACCTTCACCCTCTTCTGTACAAAAAAAAATAGAGAATAAGGTTAAGATATATATAGAATACAACAATAAATGTGCTAACCTTCAGCAGTGGCATCTTGATATTGTTGATATTCACTGACCAGATCGTTCATATTTGATTCAGCCTCAGTAAATTCCTGCAAAATCGAAACCAAACGGGATGAGAAACAAAAAATTTTTAAAAAAGTATAACTCACCATTTCATCCATGCCTTCACCAGTGTACCAATGAAGAAATGCTTTACGACGGAACATAGCTGTAAATTGTTCTGAAATACGTTTGAACAATTCCTGAATTGCCGTGCTATTGCCTAAAATATAACAAAAAAACAGCCAACATCATAAAAAAACGATAACAATTTGATTTTATTGAATCTTTACCAATAAATGTTGCCGACATTTTAAGGCCACGTGGAGGAATATCACAAACAGCTGTTTTGATATTATTCGGAATCCATTCAACAAAATACGATGAATTTTTATTTTGAACATTTAACATTTGTTCATCGACTTCTTTCATGGACATACGACCACGAAAAATAACAGCAACTGTTAAATATCGTCCATGACGTGGATCGCATGCAGCCATCATGTTTTTTGCATCAAACATTTGCTGTGTAAGCTCAGGGACAGTTAATGCACGATATTGTTGAGAACCACGGGATGTTAATGGTGCAAAACCTGGCATAAAAAAATGGAGACGAGGAAATGGTACCATATTTACAGCTAGTTTTCGTAGATCAGCATTAAGTTGACCTAGAGCATTGTTTAAATTATAGAAAATTAAAATATTACTCGAAATTTTATGAGAAATCTACCGGGAAATCGAAGACAAGTTGTGACGCCTGACATTGTAGCCGAAACGAGATGATTCAGATCACCATATGTAGGTGTCGTAAGTTTGAGTGTACGAAAACAAATATCATACAACGCTTCATTGTCAATACAATATGTTTCATCTGTATTTTCGACCAATTGATGTATCGATAATGTTGCATTGTACGGTTCAACAACAGTGTCAGACACTTTCGGCGATGGTACAACACTGAATGTCATCATGATACCTAAACAAAAGTGAGGAAGATGAAAATTATAGCATCACTCTCAAGAATTAACTTACGATCCGGATATTCCTCTCGAATTTTTGCGATAAGCAATGTGCCCATGCCTGAACCAGTACCACCACCTAGCGAATGTGTTAGTTGAAACCCTTGAAGACAATCACACGATTCAGATTCTTTTCGTACAACATCCAATACTGAATCAACTAATTCTGCGCCTTCTGTGTAATGACCTTTTGCCCAATTATTACCAGCACCCGATTGTCCTAACATGAACAGGAGACATGAGAAAAATTAGACAAGACTGATTTATATTTACCAAAGACAAAATTATCTGGACGAAAGAGCTGACCAAATGGGCCACTGCGAACCGAATCCATTGTGCCTGGCTCGAGATCAACTAAAATAGCACGTGGCACATATTTGCCACCTAAAATAAGAGAGCAAGAATATAGATGTAATTTATTTCTTATCTTCTACTCACCAGCTGCTTCATTATAGTAGACATTAATGCGTTCAAGTTGAAGGTCTGAATCGCCGTGATACGTACCCGTAGGATCAATACCGTGTTCGTCAGAAATGACTTCCCAAAACTAGAAATACATGGAGATTTTAATAAAAACATATCCGATTCAAAATATATTAGTTTACTTTGGCGCCAATCTGGTTGCCACATTGACCAGCTTGCATATGAACAATTTCACGCATCTTTTCTTTTTTTTTATTTATGTTGAAGATAAACTATTCGAAGTAGATGATAATCAATCTGTAAATAGCTATGACAAAAAATCTACTCTTTCTGATAGAAATCTAAAATATACGACAAAATAAGAATAGATAGGGTAATTTTTCAAAACCAAAAGACAATAGGAATTAAAAAATCGAAGTTGAAAATGGTAAAACAGGAAAAAAAGCAGTATCATTATTTCTGTTTGCTAGATTTGTTATGGCAAATTCTATACGACGAATTTTATACCCTGTAAACTTGTTGTATAGAATTGCGAATTTCTTCTTTTTTTTCAACAGAAAATTTGTTCTATAGAAAACAACGAACAGTTGGTGTTATATACTCTTTTAGTGATGTGCGTCATAGATGTCGTAATAGAAAAGAAAAAAAGAAAATCTCTTGCAAGTATGATGCATCCAGAAAGAACTTATTTTTCTCTCCTATACAAAATTGCATCGTATAATGAATAATCTTGCATTCGCTATGGCATGAATATAAGTATTTTACATCGTATAATTTCTTGAAGAAAATAAAAGAGCATTGGGTACCTATTGGTAGCAAAAGATTTTCCTTTTTCTTATTTTATTTCATTCATAATAATTATAGTTTATCAATTAAATTTGTTGAACAAACTTACTCAGCAAAATATGGCGCACGTAATATACTGTTAGAGTTGATAGGAATTAGATATATACATATTCTGTGTACAAAAAACTTGATCAGCTGACTTCAAAATTTTGTTTTGATGAGGCTTAGTCCATTTTAATACAGGCAGCTAAAACCATTATGATAAAATTAGTAGATAGCCTTCAATTCACCAGACTGTCATTTCGAATTTCGCTAAATATTTATAGTGGAATCACGTGATTTTAACGTTTTTTCTACAATGTATTTT